CGGCCGGCCTGGCGCGAGTCCTTGTCCGGGACCCTGGCTCGGTCCCCAGGTTGGAGGAGCCCGGAACCCGCCCTAGGAGCCACAGCCCAACAGCGGCGGCGGCTGCAGTCTGGAGGTGAGCGGGAGCTGAGGAATGGAGGCTGAGGTCGGGCCTTGGCGGAGTCAGGGAGCAAGGTCTCGGGTGCCGAGGTCAGGAGGTCTAGCTGCAGGGCGCTGGACAAGAATGGAGGTTTGGGGCCACCTGGGATGGAGGAAGTCTGAGTGAGGGTGCAAATTTTTTCTGCATCCGACCCCCTGGCCTGTCCTCACTTTTTTCTCAAAGCATTCCTTGACTTTCCCTGGAAGTTTGACCTCTGCCCAGAGCCTCCGGAGGGTTGGAGTGGCCTACTCTCCTAGGCATACTATGGCTAGGCTGAAGATCGAACTGATTCTGCATTAAGACAAGGACAGACCTGCCCACACACTCCCCTTTATCCAGGCGCTCTCACCATTATACCACACTATCTCCATTCCACCATCTTAAAGGACTCTTCTGGTTTTGAGGACCCTGCAAGTTTTCTCTTGTCAGTATGGGGGTGGAGTCAGAGGAGTCACTCTGGAAGTCTCCTGGGCTACATAAAGTGTTGGCAATGATAGGAAGAGGCTGGTCAGAGAGTAGAAAGGAAAATTAGGCCTTAGATCAGAAAGATATCTTTTGGGGCTGGGGAGGGAATAATAGTATCTACTGACTGGTCGGAGAAGGAGGGAGACTTGAAGAAATACGAGGTGGAAGTAAAACTGAGATTTGAAGGTAGGGGAAACCTAGATATAAAGGAAAGGGAGGAGGCAGAATGGAGAGGGCCTGTGAACTAGAAGCAGATGGCAAATGTCACATGAGTGTGACAGTCATTTTTAGGGAGATATCAAATGTCCTAAAAAAAGAGACAGCCCATTCTTTCGTCAAAGTACCTCTAAATAGGATTACATAATTTTACATAATGATAGAGTATTCCATATATCTGTTAAAATCAACAAAGCACAAATTTTTTTAAAGGTAAAACTATTTTTTTAACATTATAAAACCACCTTAGCATATTGATGGCAGCACATTTTAGTAGTCAGGAGATAAGGACTATAGTCTAGGTTATGAGAAAGAAATTAAATAATACAATTACATGCTTAGAAAGTTAAAATATGAATAAGCGCATGCAAGTATAAAAAATGTCACTATATAAATATTTTGCAAATTGTGAAAGAAAAACGTACTTTAAAAAAAAAAAATCAATGCGAGGATAATAGCCTGCGAAATGAATGGCATCCCTCACTGTTATGTAGTGCACAATCTGCACAACATTACCATGGGTCTTTGGATTGAGCAGTTTCCCTTTTATCCGTGAACTGGGGATGGTTTCTTCAGTTGAGTGGCAATAGTACAGTAGTACAATCTGCCTTTCTTCTCTGATTCTATGGTCACTAATCCTTTTATTTATAAGCTAAGATGATATAAAAATATAAAAGGCTCTATCCTAGAATGGATTATGGGATCAGAGTTTTGTCAGGACTCCTAATTACCAACTGTACTCCTGTTCGAGCATTCCTGTTCCTACAGTCATTGCAATAATAGACATTTCTACGTCTTTGTATATTTCCCACCTGTTTCTGTAGCCACACATTCTCAAGCTTCCAGGAGATTTTTGGCTGAGTTGACCTACATTCGACCCAGTCTCACTTTCACCACTTATATTGCTTCTGTTTGCTTCAGCTTTAGCTTCTTTGTCAGTAGTACTCTTCCCCTTATTGTCTGGGGTCTTTATGAAGGCCCGCGGTGCATTCACCTGGGCCTGTGGCCTCATGTTCCCGGTCATAGGAAGAACACCTCTCTAACAGAACCTCCTTCATAAACTAACAGTTCTCTGACATCCTGCTGCTCCTTACACTTTCCAGGGTCCATGCTTGTGCTTCTCAATGGAGAGTGAAAGCACGGATTCATAATGAAAACCAGCCCCCGTCGGCCACTGATTCTCAAAAGACGAAGGCTGCCCCTTCCTGTTCAAAATGCCCCAGGTAAAACATCAGAAGAGGAGTCTAAGAGGCCCCTTGCCCAGCAAGGGCCTAGTCAAGTGCAGGCCTCCAAAGAGGTGGCAGAGTCCAACTCTTGCAAGTTTCCAGCTGGGATCAAGATTATTAACCACCCCACCATGCCCAACACCCAAGTGGTGGCCATCCCCAACAATGCCAATATCCAGAACATCATCACAGCATTGACCGCCAAAGGAAAAGAGAGTGGCAGCAATGGGCCCAACAAATTCATCCTCATCAGCTGTGGGGGAGCCCCTACTCACGCTCCAGGACCCCAGCCTCAAGCCCAAACTAGCAATGATCCCAAGAGGACAGAAGTGCTCACCGAGACCCTGGGACCAAAGCCTACAGCTAAGGATGTGAATCTTCCTAGACCACCTGGAGCCCTTCCTGGGCAGAAATGGGAGAGTTGTGGTATGTGGTCTACAAGGCAAAGGGGTGAGGAGCCCAACCTTTCCCCTTTGGTGGCAAGGACTACAGTCAGTCATGTTGATACCTACGATAGATAGGCTAGATCAAGCCTGAACCAGGGGAAAGTCTTACCTTTCTTCATTCTGAAACTCTGACCCAGATCCTTTGGGCACTGTCCAAAGGGTTGTAATTATCATTTGGCATTTCTAATACCTTTATATTAGAAAAGAATTTGTCTATTATTTCTATTTATCCTTCCCATTGAATCTTTCTCCGTCTTAATAAAGGAGAAAACCGAATCATAAGGAAAAATGATTTTCTCTGTGCGGATACTCAGTAACTTTTGTAAGGTTGCCTTGACTGATCTCTAAGGCTCAGTGTGGCTGAGATTGAAATACAACTTGAACTATGCTCCTGAATTTCTCTTGATATCTGTAGTGGGACAGAGTACCTGAGAGCCACAATAGATTTGGCATGTATTCCCTGTCCCTAAGGGTAGAGGTCTTGGAGAGGTGATCCCTAACCACCAACTTTGATGAGCCTACCAGACATCAGATCAGGCAGCTAAGTGGCATCTTGGATTGTTTCCCCTCTAGCTGGCGGTGAGGCAGCAGGCTGTACTCTCGACAACAGCTTGACCAACATCCAGTGGCTTGGAAAGATGAGTTCTGATGGACTGGGCTCCTGCAGCATCAAGCAAGAGATGGAGGGAAAGGAGAATCTTCACCTGGAGCAGAGTCAGGTTAAGGTGAACTGTTCTGTCACTCTCTAGGGAAATCAGAGCCCATGCAGGGAGCATCTAAGAAAGGAAATGGATCAAGTGGTGTGTGCAGCAGAATTTCCAAGTTCTAGTATTAACACTTCACTTAGTGCGATTCTGTATAATTTTGAGCTACCTTTTTGCCTAGGATCTTTCTTCTTCATCTGTGGGGAAATTTCCTTGAGGGCAGATTCCTCTGGCTCACTGTATTCCGTCAGCACTTTTAATACTCTGCCCCTAGTAAGTATTCAGGAAATAATGGGTCTTAGTTTGGATAGCCACTTAAACTTTAAAAGGCATCCCAACAGAATGAAAGGAATATAGCATTTTTAACCAGATAGTTTTCTTAGAAGATATATTAATAGCAAATAAAGTGAGTTAGATGTGAATTTTAAATACTTCCCCGGCAATCAAGATTGATTTGACCCGATTGTGTGGCTTGGGCTTGTTTTTCACAATTGCCACACATCTAGATTCTGTTGTATATACCCTCTAATGATTCATTCCACAACTTTTAAAACTGAAAATTTACATGGATGTGTACATAAGTAAACACTGAGCTGTTCACTTAAAACTTGTGTGTGTACTTTAAAAGTTATTTATGTAAATATATAAATATAATAAATTTATATTTAAATATATAAACTTATAAATATGTATATAAATATAATAAAGCTCAATGCTTTAAAATATGAATAATCAGATCCTTGCCTACGACTTAGCCCAATGTGTTTTTGCAGACATTTATCTGTCTCGTACTCTTGGAAATATTTCTCTCACACAAACATTGAAAAGAGATGAGTTTATTCACATCACATCAGGAGTAGGACTCCGACTAAGACCTAGGTCGCTCTTGGCCCCCAGGTCTGAAAAAAAGGTGTGGTTTTACTGTGAAATTAGTGCATTAAGAGTCATAATATATACCCAAACTTTCCTGAGAGGTTTCAACTAGCAAAAACCAGACTTCCACTTATTATTGGGCAATGTCTTCATCAAAACGAATGAAGACAGAGAAGTGGTTCTACATTCTTTAGAGACTGGACTGGATCATCTCTAAGACCCTTCCTAATCCTAAACTTTTACTCTGTGGAAAAGTGGTCTCAGATGAGTTTGTTTCTAATGTGATTTTATAGACTACATAGTTTCTCTACGGAATGTTCTTTGAGGGGGTCTGGAGGAGGTCTTGTGATCTCTTCCATGTCCTTCCCTTTTCTCTCTCCTTCTGGCTTCTTACAACCCTCAGGTTGAGGAGCCCCCAGGAGCATCAACATCCTGGCAGGACTCTGTGTCTGAGCGGCCCCCATACTCTTACATGGCCATGATACAATTCGCCATCAACAGCACGGAGAGGAAGCGCATGACCTTGAAAGACATCTATACCTGGATTGAGGACCACTTCCCTTATTTTAAGCACATGGCCAAGCCAGGCTGGAAGGTACTACGTCCCATAACAATCAAAGTCGAGGTCATTCTGGCCCAACATTTTGTCTACACTATCTTTTGGGTTATGACTTGATCTGCTGAATCTAGGCAAAATCATCAGTAAGAGCTCTACAGCCACTTCACCTGTCACTGCCTAAGGTTTATGGTGAGTTCAATGTAGCACTAAGCCCACTTTTGTGCTACATTGAACAGTAGCTGGAGTGACTAAGTAACTCTGTGAGAAGATATTTTTTTAAAAATGCTGTCTGCGAGCCTCATGATTCATCTCTAATGTCACATACTATCTCTAGAAGGCAGAGATTTTCTCTTCGTTTTATTCATTGTGTTCCCAGGGAACACAATGCCTGGGAGTCATTGCAACTCATACTATGATGTCAGAGCCACAACTCAGGTCCTCTGACAGATGCTCAACTCCAAGCCAAAGGTTTTTTGTTTTGTTCTCCCCACAGTGGAACTTTTAACTTCACATTCTTACCTCAACTAAATTTCCTAGTTTCTTAATTTCTTTACTCACCTATCTTATCAGTTATTGCTTCACAGTCTCACTCCTCTTTCCCAGCTCTCAATGTCTTTAACACCAACCTAAAGAATGGCACCGGCCTTAATCCCAGTAGGATAGATGGGTTTATGGCTGAGGTGGACGGCTCTGCAGCGAGGAAGTCAGTTGGACACTTGACAAAGCCTGTTCTGGGTAGCGGGTGAGACCTGAGGCCAATTTCCCCTTAGGAATATCATAGGTGATGTTTCTGAAGCTAAAGTAGCTGATAACTGTTGTCTTTCTCTTCTTTCAGAATTCCATTCGCCACAACCTGTCTCTCCATGACATGTTTGTTCGAGAGACATCTGCCAATGGCAAGGTATCCTTTTGGACCATTCACCCCAGTGCCAATCGCTATTTGACCTTGGACCAGGTGTTTAAGGTGAGTGTCCTGGTTTCTTATAAATGGGGCTAGAGTTTGAGGTAATAATATCTATCTCAAGAGGAAACAAGTCATCTTTGTATTGATCTTATTGAATCAAGGCAGAGTTAGAAGCCAGCCAGCCCATAAGAGATTTGCATATAACTCACTAAACTAAGTACAGTTGACAAATACCAAATGACACACTTCAGTGCTAAACTAAGCCATGGAGAGGACCACTCTGATCCAAATAGAGGACTTCCCAGGGCAGTGTTTCCCTAACTGCCCTGTGGATAAGAACTGCCTGGAATGCTTGTTAAAATATGGTTTCCCAGGCCCCTGTCTTGGGGCTTCCGATTCAGTGGGCCTGGGATGCGCCCAGAAATAATGTATTTTTAACCAGCATCTCAGGTGATTCTTACAGAGAAAGTCTGAGAAACCTTGTTTTAAAAAAGCCCTTCTTTAGGCTGGAGACCAGAAACTAAGCCAGCAGAACAACTTTTTAGAAGCAGTTGTTTTGGGATTTCAGAGTGCCCATTCGTTGCTGCTAGCTATAACCATTCTCGTGGGAGGGACAGTTGTCCAGGGCGACCCTCAGCATCAGTCAGGAATAGCTGTTTTTCCCAATGTGGTCAGAGCGATTGACCGTGCTGGTGGTAACTTCATCTTATTTCTCTCCCACACTGCCTGACCGCCACCAGCCACTGGACCCAGGGTCTCCACAATCGCCCGAGCACTTGGAATCAGTAAGATTCTTTCCCTCTGGCTCGGGGCTTGACCTTGTTTTTTCTTTCATTGCTCAGCATGGCTTTAGTGGACAGGGATAAGACACTAAGCAGGGGAAGGGAGCCTGTGGCCATGTGGCTGCCAGCCCTAAATGCAGAGTACCCTGAGCTTCTGGGAGTGAGAAAATTTGTGACTGCCATGTCACCTCCCCAGGAGGAGGGTTTATGCCCACTTCTCCTCCCGCCTCACATGGGCTTCATGAAGGTGCACTGAGCAGAGCAGGCATGGCAGGAGGACATGCTCCGGGCTTGGTGTGAGGCAGCAACCACAGTACACAACACAGGCCTGGCAGGTGGCAGTGTTTTCTCTCACTTTTCGCCCTGATTTTTCTTTGCCACTCAGGGCTACATGCTTTAGCATCCCCTGGGGGTGGTGAGGACACATGGATGAGGTGCTAGGACCATCCTGCCACCGTACATCTATGTGATGTCCACCTTTTTTCACTAGGCTTTGGTGGCAGTGCTCACCTGCATCTTCCCAGAGCGGCTTATGTTGCTGGGCTGTCGGTTAGCTCAGTGCATGGTACCAGAGCAGCAAGTGGGTTCTCCCACCTTCTCCCCCACCTTATTAACCCAGGTTTCTTTCTCTATCTGCCACACGCAGCAGCAGAAACGACCCAATCCTGAGCTCCGCCGGAATGTGACCATCAAAACTGAACTCCCACTGGGCGCACGTTAGTATGGAAGAGTGGGCATCAGGCCTAATGCTTGTTCTGGAGGCATACTTTCAGGGGATCAGACTCCGGGATTCTATACCCAGCTCAAAGGGATCTGAACCCAGAGGAGAGCACAGCTCCTGGGATTGAGAAGGGGTGCGTTGCTGGAGCCCTGCCCCTCATCTCTCTTATTTCTTCCCAGGGCGGAAGATGAAGCCACTCCTACCCCGGGTCAGCTCATACCTGGTGCCCATCCAGTTCCCAGTGAACCAGCCACTGGTGTTACAGCCCTCGGTAAAGGTGCCATTGCCCCTCGCAGCTTCACTCATGAGCTCAGAGCTTGCCCGCCATAGCAAGCGGGTTCGAATTGCCCCTAAGGTGAGTGGCTTCTCTTTTTCTCTGAGGATTAAACGTGTTGGACCTTTGGCTTGCAACACACTCTGCTAAGTTCCTTGAGAAGCATAAATACAACAATGCATAAATACAAAGTAAAACTTAATGGCATTATAAAAGCTAAGAGAGAATTTGGATTACAGTGTAAATGGGGTCAGACAGCCCATAAATACCTGATGAGTTTATAAGAATTCAGACAAAGTGATTATGATAGATGGGCTGAGATGGTTAAGGAAGAGTTTGCAAGGGAAGTAGAAAGAAGTGGATTTGGATAAGCAGATGTGGAGAGAGTATAGAGGCAGGAAATACCAGTTTGTACCCAGCAATAGTGGAGTGAATGGGTTAGTCTAGCTCAAGGTTTCTCAGTCTCGGTACTGTTGACATTTAGGGCTGGATAATTCTTTGCTGGCTGTCGGTTAGCACACAGATGTACAGTGGCAGGATGGTCCCGGCCCCTCACCCATGTGTCCTCACCATCCTCAGGGGATGCTAAAGCATGTAGCTCTGTGAGTGGCAAAGAAAAGTCAGGGCGAGCAGTGAGAGAAAACACTGCCACCTGCCAGGACTGTGTCGTGCACTACGGAGTGCTGTCCTGTGCACTGAGGGATGTTTAGC